GTATTTATAAAGTTTGCACTAGTTTCTGCTGTACCTGTATTTGTGGACAACTGGTATTTAGATTATCTCAAACCAGTAATACCTTACAGATTAATTCTCATTCACTTCTGCAGACCTGGTATTCGTAAGAGTAACCACAATGTCTTTTGGCTAGTCTTTTCTAGGATAAATGAGCCAGAATATATTAATCTCTTGCCACAAAACAGTATATTTGATCTCCAAGTTATATCACAACAACAGAAATACAGACTTATGATAGACTGAAACTAAAATTACCCACTGTATTACCAACCCTCACTAAACTTTCCTGTCTATGCTGAAAGTCTCCACTTGGGTGCATCTTGGGAGTTGCTCTTTCCCAGAGACATTTCAAGGTGTGATTCATTTCTCATTCAGCTAAATAACACATATACATTTCCTTTATGACCCCTGCCTGACAAACTCTTTTGTTCATTCTGAAGTCCTCAGGGTAAAAAAAGGCCCTAAGGGGCAAAGCCCACAGATCATCTGGTTTTCCTTATTAATGAGCAAGCCCCCAGGTATTGCCACCACCTCCCAAAACAGCGCTGCACAGAAGGTTTACAAGTACATCCCTCCACGTAGCTTTGGTTCCAGGACAGCTCACAGAAGAATATCCTTAGTCACCTCCCTCCTGCTGCCAGACAAGTACAATTTCTGGCAATAGGGGACAAAAGAGAAGGTGAAAGACAGTATACATCCCATAACACAGAACCCAGCTGCAATGATTAATGTCACTTCCCAGATTACTGAAGATGGACTTTTTCCTAATTATGGGGAGGGATTTTTTTTATCTCTCTCTAGAGCTTTTCATTTTAAACCTATAACAAACTGCTCAGTGGTACAGAGAAACTACAATATCAATCAGTGCGAAGCACTTCCTTGTTTAGCAGCTGCCTTCCATGTGAACAGGTAGGAACAGAGTAGAAGTTCTGCAGCCCTGTTTTTCCAAGCACAAATATGAGTTGGGAAGTGTGCAAGCCAAAATTTAGTGATAGGGGAAGAAAAATAAATCGAAACTCAAGACAGTGATCAAAAAGCAGAAGGCTGCCACACAGAACTGTAACTAGGACATTGCAAAGTTGCATCTTTTCTTAGATAGGAGCAAGGCACAGTTGCTGTAATATTAGTTATATATATTCATGCTTATGTATTTGTTTTTATTGCTACAATAAAGTGGTAAAAACACGGATAAAAATTCATTTTAAGTGATACAATTACCAGGTTTTAACACCAACTCTTTGAATAAACTAGGAGTAAGTGCTGTTTATGCAGGCAGGTTTTCCTTCTTCTCCACATATATATTTAATATTGTCTGCCATACAAAGTACAGGATTAACCACATTTAAAAACAAACAAACAAAATCCCCCAACTTTCATGTGAATCACCTAAACGTGCTCCTTGCACAAAACTAAAGCAGCATAAACTGACAGTCTAATGAAATACATAATCAGCTCTCACACGTTTGCCAGATTTTAATTACCAGTGATTTACTAAAGAGTTCTCTGCGTTTTCTTTTAATTCATTATTATTTAATACTCGCTTTAGAAGACTAATGTAAATAATCAGATCACTTTAGTAAATACTATCTTAGCGACTGCTTTAAGAACACTAAAACACTAGAGGGCTAGAGAGCTAGCTATCTTCAGTGACCAGTTTAAGAAACCTCACTCCCTGTTTTCATAACTGGTCATCTTCAGCATTTCTGGAAAAACTGTTTGCCTTTCAACAGTCTGAAGCTCTAAAAGTGCAGCTGGGATCGGAGTCACTGAACATAAGCATTTCTAAATAGAACAGAAGGGAATTATTCACAACAGCTACCAGGTAGTTGCTATAGTACCGAGAATTACAAGCAAAGAACTTCAATGTTGTCAGAGGAGTGTTCAGTTTAATTATTTATTTATAAATATCCTGAGTAATCGTTTAATATCTTTGTTGCAGAAGTATACAATGACTTGCACAAGAACTGGGCAATACAACAGCAGTCTACAACTGTAAGCACTGAAAGCTTCTTTCAATCACAGCTAGACAAGCAAAGAGAACTTCAGAATGCACCACTGGACATGCATATCAGTAAATTTAACCTGGGCTCTTGCAGTCAAGAGCATGTGCAAAGTCAAGAGCCTGTAAAGGGGATCTGTGAAGGGGCTCCAGCAAGCAGGTTAAGAAATGCCTTTGGCTTAAACTCCTTGAAAGCCACTGCAGAATACAAAGCCCTTCTGTACCCACATGTTGAGAGAGGGAATGTGGTGTCTTCCTGAAGGAATAATTTCCATAAATCAACGCCTCTGAGCCAACTACCTAGATGAGAAGATGACACGGACTGCTATTTATTTTCTAAGAGAAAATTATACTTTGTATGATATTTTCACTTTCCTTGATACACAGGAACAGCTATGTACAGGGCCTGGATGCCCAGACATACCTTTGTATTTCACCTGAAAGCTCTTTGTGGTATTCCAGTTGCAGCAACAACTCCTTTTTTCCCCTCCCAACTTACATGCACAGGGACATAAAGTCTATTACCTTAATCCAAAGGCAGATCAAAAATTTGTCATTGTTTAACAAGAGCACAGAGACAACACACGGGGCTTTTTTGTGACAGACTGTGGTCAAAATTGAACAACTAAAGCCCAAGGCATAACCTTCATACCAGTGACTCAGGAACTCATGCCGAGAAAATTATTCTTGCAACTATAATTTTATTTGTGAAATCGGGATAACTTAGATCAGGGGAAAAAAGCCAAAACAAACCACCCAAAGCCCCCCACCCCATCTATAGACAAGCTTCTCCAAAATGCATAAATCCAACCACTCCAGCAAGCAATAACAGATCTACTTTTGAAATACTGGTTCTCCTCTGAGATTCCTCTCCCCACTTGTAAACTCCAGGCCTAAGTGGCATTTTTCACCTATTCTCACTCTCTGGAGGCTTATCAACCAAAGAAAAGTAATTAAAGCTGCTCAAGAATAAAGCAAACTTGCCCAGACATCACCAAAATTCTTCAGACTTAGCCATTATCTCAGCCCTACTGATATGTGCGCTGTCTGAAAAGGAAAATCCAACTTCACAGGAATATTCTCAAGGCTACAGACTATTCATTAACACTTGTTTTCATTCACTGTCTTCCGGCTGCCTCTTCTAGACTTGTTTACAGCCTGAATGAAGATTTCCTACCCTTTCCTCGCAGGCGTCTGTGTAAAAACAATTAGTTCACCTACTTTTCGATTCAGGTAGCATACGTGTTTTCTTATTTGAGAACACAGGCCAAACACAAACAAACAAAACTGAGTCTCAAACCCTGCAACACAGCAAAGAGAAATGACCATGCAACTGCAACAGGGGAAAACCAGCAAGACTTGAAAAATTAATGTTCTGTTTCACCGAAGTATCTATTACAATGACACCAGCAAGTTTAGTCCTAGGACAACGAAGATGGCCTTTCACCAATAGGTAAGATATAAGAAAGCCTGGATGCTTTGTACTATTTGAACATCCATGTGGCTGAGACATAACAAAGCTTGTTAACTTTACATACTTCCAGTGACATAGCAACAGTACTGTTAAGTAATGACTTGTATTATTTTAACCCACTTGTGTATACTGCCCTTAGATAAGAGGTTCTCATCTAACACAGTTGGGTTTTTATAAAGAGCGAATTCTGTACTTCTATTCATTATAAATAGGCTGAATGTACTAAACTAAATATTCTTGCAAAAGATAAAAAATTAACAAGTACTGATCCATTTTATTGCTTGTTAACTACCTGCTCAAAACGTGCTGTAAATATTCACCAGCACTACCTGCCCACAAGTCAACTGTCCAAACCTCACGCTGACAGTCCACGTTCACAGACCTTTGCAGCAACTGTTTTGATATTTACTTTAAATATGTGCAGAAACTGATCACTGCTACACACCGTGGAGCTTAAAAATCAGTACGAACAACTGAGAAGTATAAATTTAATGAAGCATTTAGGTAACGAACGAGGGCAGATGCTACCTACTTGCATTATCATCCATGTCAACAACGTTGCGTTTTATAAATTAGATCAAAACAAAGGAAAGGGAAGCTAAGGACAGGCTGTGTCCTCCTTCCACCTCACGAGGTGTTACATTTCTGCTCCGCTCAGAAATCACCTCACGCTAAGATTACCAAAACAAACAAACCCAACGCCACCAGCGATGGGCTTTCCCAGCGGCGCAAACGCGATTCGCGGCGGCACTAAAACCTGATTCACCGCTAACAACCTAAACCGCCGACACAACGCGCCCGGCAGCACGGGGAGCCGCTGGCAGGGCGCGCAGTGCGCCACGGGCATCGCGGCCCGGCCCGGCCCGGCCGAACGGAGCCGCCGGCGGCACCGGGCCCGCTGCCGCCGAGCAGGTGCATCACCGACGCCCCCTAATGCCACCGCGCCAGAGCCGTTCCCTCGCCCGAAACTCCACATCAACAAGATCACCACAAACCGCAGACTGAAACGGAAAGGAAAAAAAAAGGAATCGCGGGCTTAAGTAGATTAAGGGCTCAGCGACTCGGTTTATGATTATTTATGCCATCGGGACCCGAAAGGCGACTTTTTTTCTCGCGGCCCGTGGCTTCGCGGAGGAAAAACTCGGGGCGATAGCCCATGTCGGAGCACACGCTGACGGGATGCCGGGCTCTGCGGGCAGGGGAGGCGGCGGGCACAGCCCATCCCGCCGTCCCCAGCAGCCTCCCAGAGCCCTACCGGCAGAGCAGGGGGGGACAGGGCCCGCCACCCTCCTTTGCCATCTCTCCCCGCTCTCCACCTGCGGGGCAGCGGGAGGGGCAGCGCCGCTGAGGCGACCATCGCCGCCCCTCAGAGAGGCAGTGGCGGACCAAGAGCGGCGGGGGGAAGCAGCCGCCGCTGCCTCCCCCTCAGCCCCCGCGGTCCGGCCGCTGCGGAGAGCCGCGCGAGGGGGGTCGGCGGGGCGGGGGAGGGGATGTGGCAGCACCTACCCACGCCGTATTTCTCCTCCTCGGTCGGGCTCCACATGCTGCTGCGGCGGCGGCAGCCGACCTCGGCCGCGGCTCCTCTGGGCACTTCGGGGCCGGCGAGGGCCGCTCATGGAGCGGGGGCGGCTGCTCCCGCTCCTCCCCCCCTCCGCGGGGGCGCTGCTCCGCTGCCGCCGCGCCGGCAGCCCGCGCCTCACGCTCCGGACGGGGCTGCTCTCAGGGGCCGCTTCGCCGCTGCCGGGGGGCGGGGAGGGGGAGGTCGCCCCCCGCCCGCCCGGGCAGCAACAGCTGCCGCTCCCCTCAGCTCCCGGCGGGCGCTCGCCGCCGGCCTCAGCGCCTCTCCTAGCGCGGCCCCGCCGCCCCAGCGGGCTCCCGCCCCGCCGACGCGGCGGCCCCGCGGAGTTCGGCGGCCCCTCAGCCTCCCCCTCGCCGCTCCCGCCGCCGTCGCCACCGCCGAAGGACTCCGGCTGCCGCGCCCCCCCCCCCTTACTTCTCCCGGTGGAGGCCGACGCGCATGCGCGGCTAGCACCGCCTCACTGCCTCCCACCCCCACCTTGTCGCTCCCCCTCCCCGCGCGGCCGCACGAGGCGCGCGCGGGCGCGAGGCGCGGGGGCGGAGGGAAAGGGGTGGGGGAGGGGTGTGGTCCCGAGGCCGGATCCAACCCGCCCCTGTGGGTGCCCTTGTGCCACGGGGATGCCGGGCTGCGCGCGCTGGGTGATGCTCCCTCTGCCAAGCGAGGCCTCGGAGCGGGACATTGCTTCACACAACCAGGGATGCTCAAACCAGATCATCGCAAACGGCCCAAGGAGGTACTAGCATTAGAAATAAAGAGAAAGAATGGATTTGACTGAGTTGCGCAGTGGCAGCACTTGAGGTTGGCACTGGAGCAGAAACAGGACGTGCTGTCAGCACCCTTGCTGGTGACACCAGATCAACATTCGTCTAACACCGATTTAATAGTGTCTTAAATTCATTTCCAAGGCTTCTGAGGAGCTGGCAAAATTCTGCAGAGGTTGCGCAGGAATAATCATCCAAAACTCGAAACAGTTCTTAGATTTCATCCTTCCCTTCCGCTCCTTCCATTAAACCCAACCTTGAATTCCTCGCAGCAAAGTAAAAGCTGATTCATGTAACTCAAACCTGCTCCTGTAACTGAAATTCTGATCACTGTAAAGGCTCTGCCAGACAAGTGACTTTGCTCCGGTCAGAGCCTTCCCGAAGCTAAAAGGCACAAAGAGGCTCTTTTGACACAGCATTTTCAGAAACCCTTGCAAACAAATGGCTTGGGGCGAAGGTTTAAGATCGCACTGAACGGAGTAATATAGTTAATAACGTAACTAAACGTAATAATAGTTAATAACGGAACTAAACTTCAGCTGTACCCACCACTTTTTATAGACTATCTGTTCTATCATTATATAATAAACCAGAGCGAAAGTCATCAATTTGCACCACAGAACTTAGGTTGCTGTGGAAACCCTCATTATTTATTTTTTTAACACGTTCAACTTCTGCTTCAACACGGAGCAGGGGACAGCTTTCTGTCTGTGCCTCTGTTTGATCTGGGGCTGCTGGGTTTTGCTTTCCTGTGCAGACTGCTAACAGAAAGTGGCCAGTAAGTAAGCACGGCTGTGCATTATTGACTTAGAAAAACCAACTTATTCAGTCATACCTTAATTCACATTCACATTTAGGCATATGTATTTACAATAGCTTCATTACTTTCCTTCCTGAGGCACTCCCACAGCATGCAGAAATAGCTTTTTGAAGGGACAAAGCCTGACAAAGTCATTGAGCTGCATCTGTTGGAGATAGGCTGCTGCTGGGCTCAAGATTTCTTTTTTATATATACATATATATGCATATGTCAATAATAAGTACCTCTTCATCTGTTCCTAGAACTTTGGGAGCAGAAAACCTCTGTAGTGACAGGAGTTGGTTTATTCTTCCAGCCTCTTCATTCTCCAGCCTCAGCACTTCCTGGATTCTTCCTGCTGCCCAGTGAACCTGTACTTAAACAGAAACTCCTGCTGCAAGAAAAAACGCAGCAGATTTAATTTCATTTTGTTTTTCAAAATACTGCCATGTCTGAGTGGACTCTTACAGTGAATATGGAATGAAGGGGAACTTGGGAAGAGAAGGTGAGGACCTTGCAAGGTTAGATAAACCCGGAGGGGAACACCAAAATAGTGAACAGAATGGGACCCACAAAGACCTAACAGCATACAAGAAACATTTTGTTTAAAGGGAACTATGCTATTTGTGGACATGTACTTGACAGCATTAACAGTCCTATTGATGAAAGATTACTTTGATTTGAAATACAGTACACATTATTACATATTTATTCCTAACACTTCTTTGCACTGCTGCTGGTGATGCCTATTTTTGAACAGCAAGAGTCAGTAGCGGGGCATATGACCCACTTCAGGAAGGAAAAAAATGAGTGTGTGTATTTCACTGTAGAGTCAGTGGAATGCAAGTTTGCATAACTTGAAGTTACCGAATATATTTGCACCCATTCCTCCGATACCTGCATTCACCAGCCTGATGAGTCTCCTATCACCTCTACATAAATACTGATGGCTTTAGTAAATGTTCTTAGCTTAAGTGTAGCACAGAACAAACATCTCATCGTGTGAAGGAGGCAGAGGCACTGATCTCCCAGGCAGCAAGGAGGTATTCAGGATCGCCACCTGCAAAGGAGACAGACCAAAGCAAACGGCGACCACTGCGCTGGGCTGCAGGACAACTGTTTCTCCTGTCTGCCTCCTCTCTTAGGGCTCACTCCTGCCAACCTCAATATTCATACCACTCTGTAAAGAATGGGAAAAGCAGAGTAGTATTATGCAAGCATAAAAAAAAGAAATTCTGAGGGTTATATGCTCCAGCAGTTTTTCTTCTGGAGGTGTTTTTATTTTATCTTACTGTAAAAATAGCACATTCAAAAACTACCACTACAAAATTAGAATCCTGTGCCTTCATTAGATTATTTAAATGGTTTCAAGGTGGTATTTAGGGGGTTTGGGTTTTGTTTTGGGGTTGGTTTTTGGGTTTAGGAAGTTTTAAAAACTAATGTCAGGAATTGAACTGAATGGTAAAATCTGCTCTAAATGTCAGAGCTCCTACAAGAACAGCTTCTGTTGGTGGATACCATGGATCCCCAACACTAACAGGTTTCAGAGAAAAGTGGCCTCCCCTTGGCAGAAATCTTCTGAGCTGCCATTCTGAGTCTTTGCCACTCAACTTCTGTGTGGCACCATATGGAAATGGTGGCAAATACATGATTCAGGACTTTATTTAACTGAACAAGCCAAATTAGAAGGAGAGCACGAATCACTTTAAGTAACACTGCTGAAAGTTACTTCATGTCCACTGCATACAGGAGCTGTTATGTGAGAATTCATGGAATCATAGAATAGTTAGGGTTGGAAAGGACCTTAAGATCATCCAGTTCCAAACCCCCTGCCATGGGCAGGGACACCTCACACTAAACCATCTCACCCCAGGCTTCATGGTGAGTTGCTTATGGTTAAGTTACTGCAAACACAATTATCCTTAACCAAACAGAATACACGTTAATATTTAACACAGTATTAATTAAAACACATTAAATAGTTCATCTTACATCACACTATCCTGCCATAATATAGATGTGATCTGAAAGGCAGCTGGCTTGGGATTGAAGAGATCTGACACAGTTTCTTTCTCTTAAATAGATCAAGGGAACTGCACAATCCTTTCAAATGCTCTGCAAGGGACAACGGAAGGGCAGAGTGCAGAAAGCAGAGAGATTCTCATACCTCCCTGCAAGCAAATTTTTCTGTTATTTCAGCCTTGAGGTATCATGGAACACATCACCCTCTTGCCCTCTCTTTCAGGTAAGAGCATCCCCATACTTTACACTTTCTCTGGGCTATAGATCCTGCTACTTCTATTATTACTTCGAACTCCTGTTTTAGAAATATGGCCCTGAACCCCTGCTATCACAAAAATATCAAGGATGATTTTTAACTCCCTCTGACAGTCAATTTGTTTAAGTTACCTCCTTTCCTACGCTTGATGTTCCAATTTTGCATTCCGGTTCCTTTAAAGTTCATATTCTTTCCCTGTTGATAAGATGGTTCAAGCCATTAAACAACTTGACTTCCCCATTAAATTATAAATTCCTCACCTTGCAGGGAGAAACAAAAGGAACCAAAGCAAATACGCTCTACCACCATCTCTGACAACCTCGCAGGTCCTTTTGAAGCACCAAGTGTTTCTTGCTTGTGCCTCAAAATAGGTATTCACATGTCCCAAGAACGGAGCTATGCTTCCTTTGATGCAGTAATCTTCTAAAACTTTTAAGCAGGAGGTCTCAGCTTCTGATGTACAGATCCAAATTACAGTCTTTGTCTTATTGCATAAGGCCACTTCATGGATTTTTTTCCTTATGAAGAAAAGACCAAACCATCATATTAGGAGTCCAATGCAGCAAATGACAGCAGTTTTGCAGTGTCTGTGACCCACAACTTCTTTCACCTCATCATTCTTTCATCAGGATGATTTCTGATTAGTGCTCAGCACTGGAGTAGTGTTTTAAAGGTCGTTATCTTAAGACTCCTCTTTTTCATGTTTAATTCAGAATGAGCTGCCTGTAAGCAAGCCTGCTCCCAACCCTCAACATTTCTCAAAGTGGCAGGAAAGAAAAGCAGACCCCTACCCACCAGGCAGCACTTCCAGCCTGCAGTTAAGTCATCACTCTATCAGCTATTCCTTATCTCTGAGGAAGAAGCTCATGACTGAAAACAACCAATATACATCTAGCTTTATCATGTGAGATGTAACCTTCCGTCAATCCTAGGAACATCTCAATTACAATAGTTCTGTGGATCCATCCCTTTAACACCAAAATTTGTCTTTCATGCAGAATGGGAGTCAGCATAAAATATTCCAGTATGCTGCAGAAAAAATGGACTCAGTCGGAGATCAATGTGATCAGACCAAAGTCGCTTATTACAAAGCATCTATCCTTTTCATACTGTTGTCTGCCTCTGCTTACAATAGCTTGCTGTATTATAACTGGATACATATTCTTGTAGCACACAGCAACTACGGCTACATATACAATAGCTCGCTGTATTATATTTGGATACATATACAATAGCTTAGTATATTATGCTTTGATACATATTCTTGCAACATACAGTAACTAGTATACAATTAATTAAATAAGCGTATGGGAACTTAACCTTTAAAACTTGCCAACAGTTCACTCTTTTGTATCTTAGCACATTCCAGTTTCTTCTTACCTTGCTTGCACC